CTTTATCATGTTTTATTCGAGAAAGCTAAGCCCAGTGGAGTAGTGATATTTCATTTACAATCAAGAATTATTAATAATATATATTACTTTTATATAATAGTGTTATTATGCGATAAAGAGTTGATTATACTATTATAATTAAATTGAATTACAACAACCTTCAGCACTTTATGATAAAGAAAAGCCTGAATGATTAATAAGCAAGGTAAACAGAGGTTTTAGCTATATACAATTTCGAGATAGTATATAGAACAGGAAAATTGAATCCTACAGATGGACCATCGTATCGCCCTGATTACATTATTAATATAAAGAATATTAATGATATACTTCCAACCCTTTAGAATAAATTGAGGAATAGATTAATAATTATAAAATTATTTCAAAGTTTCTTTATCAAGAAAACGGAGCCTTTATATAATGTTATAAGTCTCTTATAAAGGGAAGAATATAATCTATTGTTTTATGAATAATCGAATTTATTAATTAAAGCTGATTACAAATAATCGATATTATATTAAATAGCTTGTGTTTTAGCAAAAGACGAAATAATATTTGAGCTAATATTGAAGATAATAAGAAATACTTTATTATAGTTTCAAGTAAATAACGATTTATAAAGAATAAAGAATATCTAAATTAAAAACTATATTCTACTGGAATTGCCTTATCTTGGTAGGTAAATGTTAATAGGCTTTTTAGATATAATGGGAATACCTATATACCACCAGATTCTGCTTTGAGAATAAAAATCCTGGAAGCTTATTATAATAATCCTACAGATAAACATTAGAATGTTTTTAAAACTCTAGAAATCTTGAGATCTAAATACTTTTGGCTTTTAATAAAGAAAGATATAAAAATGTATATTAAAATATACACAATATATCAATAGATTATTATTAAAAGACATAAACCCTATAGCAAATTGCAACCTTTTCTATACTTTGTAGATCTTGGAAAGAGATAACTATGGATTTTATTATAGATCTATCCCTATCGAAATTAGGTAAGAATATTTATAATGCAGTTCTAATAATTATTAATAGATTCATGAAAATTGTTTGATATATATCTATTAACAAAGCAATCACTTTACCGGAGCTTATATAAATACTGATACAAAGTATATTCAAAGACTTCAAAGTATTAGAGGGTATTGTTTTGAATAAGGGATTGCAATTTATAAGTAAGTTTTGAAGTAGCTTTCTATTTTACTTTAAAATATAATATAAGCTCTCTACTACATTCTATTCTCAGACTAATAGGCAAACGGAATAGCAAAACCAGAATCTGATTTACTATATCAATTGTTATTCTAATTACCAATAGAACGATTGGGCTTTATTATTACTATTCGCAGAGTTCACTTATAATACTATATGATATAGTATAATAAATACAAGTCTATTCCAAGCGATATATAGATTCCTATTAATATTCCACTATATCGATGAGAACACTGATGATATAGGGAAAACACTAATTATACACAAGCAAATCGCCTTTCTTAATAAAGAAAGGAATAAATTAAAAAAACTGTGGTAAATAGTTATAAACCGAAAATCGAAGAATATAAAGAGTATGGTATCCCAACGATATAATATCAGGGATAAAGTAATATTAAGTATCCAAAATATCAAGCAACTTTAATTTAAGAAAAAGTTTTCGAATAGATTTATAAATCCCTTTCGAGTAATAGGTATAAAAATCAATAATCAAGTATATAAACTTAAGCTATTATTTATCTATAAGATTTACAATATCTTTTATATTTCCTTACTAGAATTATAGTATAAATAACAGGGTACTACTAACCTATTATCATTAAAGGAGATAGACAATTACTTAGAATATAAAGTGAAGAAAATCATAGTATATAGAAAAAAGGATAAAGATATTTAATACCTAATTTGATGGAAGAACTACCAGTTAGTAAAAGATATATAGGAAGCCTCCTATAATCTGGATAATATGAAAAAAGTATTAAAGAAATATAATAAAAAAGGAAACTATCAATACAGAATTCAAAAGAAAAAAGGAAAAAAGCTATAAAATAATAGGGTTATACTGTGTACCTATAAGCGAATCACTAGTAAGTCAAAACTGTTTATAATATTTCTCTTTTTACTGTTTTTTATTCTGATAAGAATAAGGATGTAATCCTTTACTCACCGGTATACCGCATACTACTGCCAAGCATATTAATTCATCCTAATATCTCTTGAATACTTTAGATTTCAACTTGTGAGTATTAGAGTTAATATTAATTGAATCCTTGTTGATACTCGGTATATAGGATTATCATTATTCCTTTTATAAAGCCTCATTTCTTGTAAGGGTACACCTTTAATTAATATAGAGATATTGTTATGAAGACATTGTTATATTAATATATTAAAAGAGTCCTATAGCAAGAATTAACCCTCTCATTATATACATCAAAAGGATCTAATATAGAAAAAAGAATACTAAAGATAATATTATTTATATCACTATTATCATATTTACCCTCCTTCATCAAAGACATATTAACTTCATTCTCATCCTTATTCTCCTTCTCCTTCATTTTTATAAAAGCTTCACTAAACAATCAACCCTTTGTTGGCTGGTTATTAACAATCCGCTAGCACTTGCAGAATCAAATACTTTCAGAAAAACCCGTATAAGTATTAAACTCTCTAGTATAGACATTATGATTTATAAAGGAAATCTTAAACTTTTATGAAATATTATAATCTTAATATCAAGAATTAGATTAAAAATCGGTAGTAGTTAATACTGCCTTTTACTTCGGAACTATTTGGAAAGCTTTACAAAAAGGGAGGATAACTTGAGGGATTGACTTTCTAGTTATAGATCAATAAATAAAAACTATCAAACCCCCAGAAACACACTTCTTTACCTAAAGAGTGATAATATTGATATTGCCTTTGAAAATATGGGAAATATTAGAACATCAAGAGATACCAGTAGTTCAATAAAGAAAAGCAATACCACTATCACTACCAATATTATCCTTATTGTTCTTATTAGGACCAAAAAGGGATTCTTTAGAGTACCTAATTCGATCTTTCTTGTATATTGAGGAACAAACACGAAAATGGGGATAAGATAATGATTTAGTATCGATACAAGGGGATTGATAATCTTTCGAACTAATTATCATATTCATGGTACCCGAAGCCTTACCTCCCACAGGAGCAGGGAGCGAAGCAAGAGCGATGAGAGCGCAGGGATGAACAATTGGGGCAAGGAACTCGCCCTCATTATCTAAATCCATTATAAATACCAGTTTCAGAATAGAACCCGGAACAACAGCATCCAATACAAACAAATTATTTTAGAGTCCAGAATATCAATAAAAAACAATTCTATAAAGGAATGAGGGGTAATTGATAACAGCTTAATAAAAGTCTACAAAACGCTTCATAAGATTATTTATTTGATTTAGCTTCTTTATAACAAATAGAGATAATGCTTTTACTGACTTTGGCTTTTTAATACTATTTTATTGTATTTTTTTCATAAAAAGGCCTTTATACTCTTGATGTAGTGTTTATTTCAGTATATTAGCACATTTTCAGCATCCTATTTCTCTTGACTATTAATAAAAGTAGTTAATCAAAAAGCTTGAGTTTTATATATGAGATTGATATCGGGAATATATTATGAAAGTACTGACTAGCAGACTTTCTTCTGGATACAGTAATAACTATAAAAGGAGTTAGGATCCTTATTATAATAACAGAAATCTTTAGAGATAGAGATTGCAATACACTTAAAGCAATAAAGATATATAGGAATAATTAGATTAGCAGGGTTTGCTACAAACCAAACTGCAATCGCCTGGGAACTGACAGGTTGAGGAGCGGTCATGATGAGATAAGGATTAGAAAGAGAATGGGTAAAGAATAATCTATTAAAAGAGAAAATGCACTTGGGAAAATAAAGGGAATTTATAAGGCCTCTAATAATCTATCGATGAGAGCAGTAAACACATTGAAATATTGTTTATTGATTATTTATAACTTTATGACATTCTTATTTTCTTTTGAAATGCAACCTAGACAAAATCACACGGCACCTCATTTTCTTGTATTACACGAACCGATTTCGGGAGGTAAACATATACGTCTCGGGGCGTGATATGCAAAATGGGCGGTTCTGTTATGGTTAATCCGTATAAGAGCTAGCGAGGATACATAAGTAGCCCTGCGAGCCTACCCCGGGCCGACACCAACCCGCACACAATTATAAATTGTAGAATTTTCATAGTTTAGAGGAATTAATGAAAAGTCTTTGTGCTACATTACACCTAGTTGATTCATTGCTATTATCTACTCTAACAGTAATAAGGAAGTTACGAATCAGAAATTATATTCTAATAATAATCCTATATATCAATGGAATAGGGAGTTTGCAATTTTAACTTTTAAAATGCTTTAAAAAGCTAATGATTTAAGATTATATGCCTATATATTGATTTAGAGCAAAAAGATCAATCTTTATATTCACCGTCAGCTTTTTAGAAAGATTATTAAGGGATTTGATACTAAGTATTATGAACTTCTGTAATCTGGATATCGAATAAAGCAATTGGAGCATTAATTGGAACAAGTTGTTTCTAAAAAGAGATATAAGGTGAAAAACTAGTCCAAATTCGAAGTTTTCTAAGATTAAAGAGATTAGGGAGGCGCAAATTAAGGCGGGAGATTGTGAAATTGATATGGGAGATGCTAATAATGATAATGAAAGTATATCCTCAAGTATTTATTATAATACTGAATAGTTGTTGAATAATTAATGTTTTAATATTATATAATATAAATTTTTAAGGTGGTCCAAAAGGGGGGTGGCCTGAAAGTGGGGTACCCGACTTAAGTTGTGGGAAACAATGTGAAGCAATCATGCCCCCAAAAGCTTCCATCATCACGTACAAAGAATCACTCCATAATTTGAGATACAAGAAATGATGAGCACGAATAAGTCCATCATCACTAGGCACCCAGGTCGAAACCCGCATTCATTTTACCGGTATTCTTAGCAAGATTATTCTGGTATACTATTGATGTATCACGTCAGTGTCTAGATATAGGGGGTCGTCGTTGAAAATTTATGTTGGTTTGGGAACTCACCAAACAAATCGTAACTAGCATTCTTGACACCAAGAAATACCGCCAAGTCGGCCAGGTCTTGGAAATCCCTACTGCTTAACTTTCTTGATGTCAAGCCTTCTGCCCAAGTTCCCAAGTTTGTAAAGGCTCGACCAAGTCTTCCTGTACTGGTGGTGACACTCCTATAGCCAGGCTGATCTTTCATGAACTGAGATCTCATCAATGCTTGAAAATAAATTCTAATCGAGTGACAATCTTCTTTCTTTGGAACAGAGATATCAGGATCATAGACTAGCTTGTCCGCTAAGTCGCCAGGGAGCCGTTGCGTTTGTGTGAATAAAGTGTTTGGAGAAGAGGGAGTTTTCGGAAAATTTTGGCCTTGCTGAAAATTCGGTGTTCTTCTTTGCGGTGGCTTTCGGGAATTGTGTCGATAAATCAGATCTCGGTATTTTTTACCCTGTTTCAAGAATGGAAGATTAGCTAGTCTATTATCATTTTCTTGACAGATCACGCAATTTATTGGTTTGAAGTGACGTACCTATTTAGCTCTGCCTGAATGTTATTCTCACAATCTTGCACATTCCAGATCTTTGGAGTAGGTGCAGAAGCTTCAAGGCTAGAATCGAGAGCGACAACACTTGAAAAGGGTCTTTGATGGCAGCTCCACCAGCAGAGAATGCGCATAGTCTTAGGATCTTCGATCTCGTTGACAGCCGCTCCAAAATACTTAGCCAACGCCAATACACGATCAATAAATGTTTCAATATTTTTCATATCACCAGGTCTAGAGAAGGACATCTTTCGTTCCTGATGCCAAATTATCCAAACTTTCATAAACTCCATCACCGTCTCTGGTGTCTCGTGTTTAATTGACGAAAAGTTGTTTTGGGATTTTGCCAAATCAGAACCTAAAAGCTCTTCGATGTATAAAATCTTATTCTCCCAGAGGAGCTTCTTCACCATCGTTGTTGCGGGGTCAAAGACAATGTGATCGTCATCGGCAGGTGGAGAAAAGAGGTCCTTGTGCAATGCCATGTGGGAGTTAATCGGACGCGATGAATTTCTGAACAACATGCGCAAAAGAGGGAAACAATTGAACGCAGTCTGTTCATCGACACAGAAATATGCAGGCTGACTAGGTGCATCGATTAGCCTGATGGGGTCTTCGTGATGATGCAAAACCAACAGAAAATCTTTGACGGCATAGCGATTGAGGCTGTTTGGTGCGATGCAAGACAGAAATTAGTCCAGATTCTGGATTTAAGGAATATCAGGGTTTGAGCTACCTATCATCCTTGGTTAGATCTCTGTCTTTAACATCTTGATGATCTTTCTGATCAACGTCACAAGAAAAATCTTTGTTATGTTCAAGATCATGCAATTTCGGAGCACCCAGCTTTCCAAGGAGCTTTTCTACAGGTTTGAGTAAACTATCGAGTTCCGCCGCATCTTTCGCGATGAAATTTCCTGTAGAGCTTGCCACAGGTACCACTAATTTTTTGTAAAAGATATCAAGCACATCTTGGGCCGTGGTAGACGACATTTTTTAGGTGATCAAAAGATGCCAAAAATATTTGTAGACTTGGAAAGGTTTATCGCAAGGACAAGAGATTGTGAGACCGTAATGAAATGAGCAATAGAGTGTGGGAGAATACTTTATTGTATTTGACAAGCTCATACAATCTCTTTCTCCAGAAGCAGACCTAGCTAGAGAAAAGAATTGTTAAAGAAATCGCTGTCGCGTCGTTCTCTTCTTGTTGTATTAAGAAGCAAAGCCTGATTGAAGGTGAAAGACTTAAACTCTCAAATGGGTTCTTTGCGAGGTTGAGCTAGCGCAATTCTAGTTGCCTGGGTGAATTTCGCTAATAGTTGGGACGAGATAAGGGGGGCCCTGAAATTCACTCCATTTCCTGTCCAAGTACAGTACCTACCTACCTACACAGGAAATTTATCAACACTGCCAATAGAAACTTATTATTATGTTTCATATATTATAGCACAGTAATAGGCATCTGAGCCTTTTGACAACCCAAAATACTTAGTCGAGGCCAGAGACCATTAAGATGTCATAATCAGACTCCAAATTCTATTTTGCGAACCACGTGCACAATCTAAGTGATGATCTGAAGCTCGCAAAAAGTCCTTCTACAGGATATGAATCCTTTCGATAGGATATATACTTATAATCTGGAAGTCAAATTGAACGATTGCTTCGTTCTTATGAATCGCTCAATCTAAAAATACGGCCCACGTGATGCATTGAATTCACTTCCGATTCTCGCTCTCAACCGTACAACTCCGGCATTGTGGGACATTCAGGCTTCACTCGTCCTTGTAAGTCTCTTGTTCAACAATCTTGTCAAATATTTCAAGATCTGAGCCCCCTTCTTCATTTTTATTGATTTCATACGCCACGGACGCGACACATCAATCTTTCGCAAGAAGAATCAAAAATGAATAAGCGCAAACTATCATCGGAGTCTGACGACTCAGACTTGGTTAAGTTATGTTCATTCCTTCTGCCGGAGGTTCAGAGAATTGTTAATGATCGCAGGGTGTCGGAGAAATCTCCAATCACACCGTTGTTAGAAGATATATTGCGCCATGATGGAATAATTCCCGTTCTCAGAGAATTTTCCAAAGCTATACAGTATCCCTCAACCAGGAAAGCGCATTCAAGCGAGGTACCAAATACTGAATGTTCTAGAGCTTTGGTTTCCACCTTCAACAAAGGCATTCAAAAGGATGGAAAAATTGTGCGAGACTGTTTGCGCACCAAGCCGGCGAATAATAGTAGTCATTATCCGGCAATCCAAGCAGCGAGCAGTCTCCCTTCGAAGTACATCGGTTTCGCAGTGATACCACCTCCAACGCCAATCAATTATGTTCTGAACACGTCAAAGAAGCCCGTACCTAGTACCTTGTAAGTTCGTCCTTCCATGCCGAGTCAATGACGATAAAAAAAGACTATTAACAGTTTACCTGTGTCATAGGGAGATCTCACAAATGCCTCCGCTGAAAGACCGAAGAATATACTTTCTCAAACGGCATGAGACTTCCGACGTCCCATACCTTGCGCAAACCGAATTCCCAGAATTTATTACTGTGGGAGAAGAGAAATTCTTTCAGATGTGTCCTTTCGCAGGTTTTGCATTTGATGTAAAACGAATCGGGATGTTTTCAGATCTGGATGACAAGGCAATCTATGACCCTGAATCAACCCGAAACAAAAAAAGATGCATTGGTAAAGCGAAAATCGTCTACTTGGCTAACTTGATAGACTCTACCTATTTCCATGAGATACGAGGCTCTCAGTCTCCATACGCTATAAGAATACTTTGCGGATGGAGTATTGAGAAGATATGGCGCAACACGAGAACTTGGGTATTGTTCGTCGATGGAAAATCCTTCGAGGAGCGGATTTCTTCTGAGGCGGAATTGGATGAAGTTTGTATGCTTGGTAGTTTTCTCGGTGCGAACACAGAGGGAACTGCTCTCCTACGAAAGAGGTACCGGAACCATAGGTTGAAGGAATATCATAGTGATTCTACTAAAACCGGTAAGCACTCAAGATCGTTTATTATTGTACTGTTATGCAGGTTTCAGTGATCGGGATTGCAGTCTGAAAATACGGGGCTCGAAGGTCTGGATCGACGTGAAACATTCGAATGGTTTGAGTTGTTGAATCCGAGTTGACCATCGAATTGCTGTCAAATTCGAATTACTTGACCTAGTCTTCAATTCCAGAACACTGGGCTCCCTCTGCGCGTGGTTAATAGATTTTGGTCAACTAACCTTTCTTTTCCTACAGGTAATTCTCTTGTAAATAAGAGAGCTCTGGAATCAGGCATATCATCGGTGGATGAGGCACATAGTAAGAGACTACGTGGGAACGATTATGTTGCGGACGAAGCTCAAAACGTGACTTCAGACTTGGGATGGCGACATCGTGATGATTGAGGAAATTTATGGTAGATACCTAGGTAGATATTAGCGTAGCGGATGATGCGGCCGCTTTGGAGGGGCTACCGAACGTGGGGGTTCTGAAGTTGGTCTTCCTTGATGATTCAAGGTGGTAGGGAACGACATAACTTGTTTCTAAATCTGCCAAGCTGGCTGATATTGAAATGATAATGAAACTTTTGGTGAATTTATTGCAGTCGCAAATATGTGCATGTTTTATTTCTCATACTTGTGCTTAATTAATCCCGGTTCAGGTCAATTTTCAACTCCCAGCTAGTTCTCATAGATGATCTTTGATTCATATTTCTTTTTGGCCGCGATTATTCATTCATACATACTATGATTTATCCTCGCTGCATACCACTACAGACATTTCTCATACAAATCATCACTATCAGTCTTGGGATACGATATGAGAAGATCGCCCCGCAGTCATGGGTAGAATGCACATCAAGGATGCGTACCTTGAGCCAATGTGATGCTTCATGGATGCAGCAATCGGTGGTGAAATAATGATGTGATAGCAAAATTCAAGCACGCAACGTCACAATCGCATATAAAGTAATTTGTTGCCATTCAATTCATAATTTGCTTTATCTTGATATCAGGGTCCTGTTTCTTGTGAACGCGTGATCCGTTATAGTGCTTTCAAATTTTCTCACGAAACTATGTCACAGGTTGCAGCAAAACAGTCGGTCAGTCCCTTCAATTCCTGATATCATAATTGATTATTGACATTTAATGGAAGTTTCGGTCTTTTATATGGAATACCGACACACATCTCAAGTCTGTTGAAGAGCGAAAGCTTCTGCGGAAGCTCGATGCTGCTATTCTCAGTATTGGATGCTTAGGCTTTTCGTAAGTAAAGTTATCAGTCCATGCCTCTGGTTAAATGTTGGAACATTACTGAAACTAGTCATCATCAGTTGAAATATCTTGACCAAAACAATCTTACAAATGCCTATGTTAGGTATGGCTAATCATGTCTTTAATTTCGTTTCCGGATATTCTAATTTGAAGTATTACAATAGTGGCATGCAAGAAGACCTTGAGATGTTCGGCAATCGATACACCTATGCTGTGAGCCCGGGAGCTTTTCATTCCCTTCAACATTGAGTGCATGGACTCATAATACGCTCTTTGACCCTTGGTCGTTCCATGAGTCTATGCATCTACTGTTGCTCCCATAGACCAGTGCTCACAATATTTCCTAGGGAACATTTTATACCTGCAACATATGCTATTATGCAGATACCATCGACTCTCATAATTCAAAAAGTCCGACCGAGCTACTGGCTAGGTCTCATGGAAGTTGGCTGGGGAACTTTTACTTTTGCACAAGCTGTAATGCACAGTGTTCCACAGCTGTTACGCCTTTCGCTTTCTGGTTGGGCTTTTCGAAAGTTCATTGTTCCCATGTATGCTTTTTATACTTGGCTCGTGGTAGGTAAGCCCTATCATGAATTCTCAAACCAGAAACTAACAATAAATCAACACAGGTATACCAAGACTGAGCTCGGTAAGTTCTAAGACATAACCTAAACTAATACCGCAAGTCTCTGATATCTCCTGGGTCTGAATAGCGAAGCGTATTGCTATATTTCACATGACTGCCCCGCTCGGAACAGCGTTTAGCGGTTATCTGGTAAGCAAATTCAGTTCCTGAACTCCCTGAACTTCCTGAAACTCCTAAATGTCTAGCAAGCTGCGGTTTACACAAATCTTAACGGACGCCATTGGCTTGCGGGCTGGCGATGGCTCTATATTGTGTGTGGGGTAAGCGTTTTCCAGTCTTGTTCAGGGATTTCGTATAACATATTTCCAGATCATGACTCATCCCGTTGGGTTTGCAACAATATTCCTTCTCCCTGACACACCACATACCACTCGCACCCGGTACTTAACAAAACACGAATGTGCCCTTGCGATTGAACGAGTCGAAAAGCCGGAAAGACAGCTCCCGTACCAATAACATGGACCAAAATTAGACGCATGTTTACCAGATGGAGTATGCCAGACCAACTCTTTTGATTGTGTGTGATCAGATTGCTGATGTTTTCCGACAGGGTGGTATGCGCTTGTATTGGGCTATATCGTAAGGTGATCGTAAACCTACACTTTCCACTTACTAATTTGATGAATTAGTTGTACGGGACAAGTTGTGCAGCAAGTAGCTATTTTGCTATTTGGCTGAAATCCGAGAAGTTCTCTGTCACTTTGCGAAACGTTATCCCATCAGGTGCCAGCTTGATATCCGCTTTCTGTGTCATTCTATGGGGCTTTGGGGCAAATTACTCTGGAAGTCGTTTTGCATTTGTGATCGGACCATTAGTAAGTTACTGGCTCGGATTTGACCGTGAAGCCCAACAACTGATCCAAAAAAGACTTATGGGTTGATTCCCAACGGCATTCTTGCCATTTGGCCAAAAAGCGTAAAATTGAAAGAGTTTGCTTTTCTCACAGACGGTGTTCAAATCATGACTGCAGTCTTGTAAGTTGTATATCTGCCGGCTTTTTTTTTAATAAAATTGCTAATATCGGATTGGACTATTAGTTATGCATGGGCAAATGAAATATGTGCAGGAGATAGCGAGGAGCGAGCTATTGTTATAAGCAGTATGAATGGCTTGCAGTACGCTGTCAGTAACTTTGGCGACTCGGCTTCGGTCAAATTACTCACCCGTGTAAACACAGGTAGCGGGGTGGCTTCCAATTGTCATCTTTCCACAAACCGAAGCACCCACATTTCGTAGGTGACCTTGTAAGCCTTTTCAACAGAGGACAGCTGCTAACTTTTAAACAGGTCGTGGCTTCCCAGCTACATTTGGATTCGTTATCACAGCTCTCCTCGCCATCTTACTTATCCAGTTCCTCCACACGCGCGAGTTGAAGCAAACAGCAGAAATGAACCACGAAGACACCGAAGCAATAAATTCCGAGGAGGTATTACATATCGACAGTGGGCCAACTAAGGGAATTGAGAGTGGCGAGTTCCGAGGAGTACCAGTAGCTGATCTGGTGTGTCCTGATAGAATGAGATGGGAGACTGAAGGTGTAGACTGGCGAAATGCTCTCGATGCAGTCAAGAAGATGTGGTCAAGAAGATGTATTAAGAGTTCGAAAACAAAAAATGACTGTACCTTAGCGGTTTATACAATAAGAATCTGTGGGGGGGGGGGGGATAGCGTTGTTTCATTGGTGGCTCAATTGGTAAGAATTTACTGTTATCCCGAAACAAAAACTCGTCTAGACTTCAATGAAATTTTGACTCTTCGAGTATATCTGCGGTTTACCAGACCTGAGAGTTTCGTGGAATGAGTTCCGCATACAGTTTTATGAAATGTAAAGGACCGCTGGAGAGATTTCTGGTAGTCTGCGTTACCAATGCAGTGGGTGTCATTCCAGACCGATTAACCCCTTCTTCTTTTAGTGAGTCTATCTGAAACAAAGATCTATTGAACTTGGCGACTGCAGACTTCTAAGACCTCTTTTACTTCCATCTTGCGAGCCTTGATCGTAATAGCATTTGAAACCTCATGTACTATGTTCTTACTGATCACTTGCATGGGATGATCAGATCCTATTCAGCTGCAATCGAAACATATATATTGAATCCTGTATCGCACTATCGTGTTTTATGATTGGCCAACATCTTCCACTTGTTATTGACATGCCCCCACAAAAGTAGCCGTCGTCTAATTCCACGAAGAGAGAGGATCCGAAGATCCACAATTAAGTCAGTCGCGATCAAAAGCAAGTAATAATACAACTCTGCAAAACAGTCAAATTTGCAAATTAAAAAACAAAACAATGTAGTGATTATGTCTGCTGTATATTTCGAACAAAAGAAAGTAGTTATCAAAGCAAACTCGTTATTGGATGATACGTTCGAATTGAGATGCTTTGATACAGGAGCCGAGTTAGTATTGGGATAAGTAATAGACAATGTAAAATTATGTTATATTTCATTTCTTCTAAGAATAGCTTGTTACAAAATATTATACAAGTACCTAGGTATGTTGAGTACTAGCATCTCATTACACATATGATATTTCGGGGCGAGTAAACTCGCTAGTATGATAATAATAATAATAATAATAATAATAATAATAATAATAATAATAATAATAATAATAATAATAATAATAATAATAATAATAATAATAATAATAATAATAATAATAATAATAATAATAATAATGTTAGAAAAGGTGCTCATACCGTATATCACACTATGCTATATCGGGATTAGCCCGCATGTGACACTGTCGAGTCCACACATATATATTGTATTGTTATATAGAACTTAATAATATTAAGGCTTTTCTATCAACTCATATATGATCTTTTAATAGGTTATAAGCCCGGGTTCGCGTAGTATTAGGATTAGTCTTCCGGAGTTACTTGATTAAAGCTACGACAGATAATAGCTATTCTATCAAATCCGGAGACTGTCGTCTTTGTAAATATAATTCAATCCTAAAGATATCTAGATAGTATCTAGTTCAATACGATTGAGCAATTAGGGGAGCACAACTCCGCTCGGCAAATGAATCTAGCTTTGGTGTTGTTATAAGATTCCGGTATTCTGTATAGTGTTGTAAAGCGCGCGGTGCTATTATAGTAGAGACTGTAATGAATACTCAGATATATAGTACTAAAGCGATTTAATCTACAGAATTAAAAACAATAAAAATTATACAAAATACTCAAATGTACAGTACTACAGTAATTCAATCTACAGGGTTAAAGAGGGCAATAAAGCTTTGGTAGACGACTACCATCCACTCTTATTTTCTTTCGATAATTCGAGAATTTTAGTTATAGTATAATTCCCTCAATCCATTTTCAATTCTTTTCTTTTCAATCCCCATAAGCCTTACATCGATGGCAACAATGTGATATAAGCAATCAGCAATGCTTTACAAATCGATTAAATTTTATATAATTGAAAATTACCTATAGAAAATCTTGAAGTTGAGAATGCTTTGAATATAGTTTATAGGGGAATTACAAAACCTATCTGATTTAATAAAGATTTTTCTTCGTCTCAGAAATTTTCCTATCACCCTCTCTCCATTTCTTTAATAATTTTCTAATTATTTATATCTACAATCTAATAAATATAATGATTATTGGATTATTGTTTTTATTTAATACTAGTTTTTATAGGATTTAATTTGTTTCACTTATTAGTTCCGTTATTTTATAATATCTCAGCTTTTAATCTTATCTCCTTTCGACTTTAATATTCTTTTACTTACCTATAGTTTGTATAATATATCCTGTTCTGATAGATTAGTATATATTACTAAGTACAGATCAACTATCTTTCTTTTCGATCACTATCTTCATACAATTTCGACTTCGATCTTCTTTGTCGATAATAGCTACACTAGCAATCGAGGGAGAGGGAGAGTATATAGAAAGCCGAAGAGTCTATAAGAACCCAAAGGCATTAAGTGTAGAGAGCTGGAGGTCCCAAAAGGAACCGGAGGCGATCCGAAATCATATATAAAGGAAAAGCGAATAACTATAATAATAAAAGAACACATACTACTATACTTAGGGGAACACTTTAATATTCCATTATATAAAAGATGATGGAATTATCTCCTACACTCCTTATAATAAAGGAAAGTAAGGATCAAGAGATTCTATATAATCAAAGTGATTATATAGGATACTATATCCCAACTCCTACAAGAGGTAGAATGATAGAACACACTCTATAAAAGAGTACTTCCAGTATTCCACTATATAGGAATAGATATCTCCTATACCCTCGAGAAGGAAAATAAGGATCAAAAGATTCTACATAACCAGGGTGATTATGTAGGGACCCGCATCCCAACTCCTACAAGAGGAACAGAGCTGTAGAAGTACAGGTTTTATAAGCCAATAGGGATTGTACCAATAATATAATATCTACATCCTTAGAGAAGTGTTTATATTAGATATTGAATAGTCCTAGAGGAAACGATTTTCTTTAAAAATTGATTAAAAATATTGGTTTCTGGAAAAGGTATTATCAGCGATCAAACACTCCCATGATCATATTACTTGCTGATTCGAGAACGCTTCCTGGCGGTATGTGAGATCTGATCCATTGATCCTATAGCGGTTTTGATAACTACAATCTCAAAGCGCTTTCTAGCATCCATTAAAATCAACTCGCTAGCTTTAAGATACTTGTTAGCGATCCTCGAGATTCACCGAATGAAAATAATCAAATGCTATACACATACCTATACGATACAGATCATACCGTTTAGCTTGATTGAGATTAATTATAGCCTCAACTTACGATATAGCTTTCCATAGCTTTCGATAAGCTACATAGTTTTAGATATACAATATCAGCATGAGGGAGTGTTAGAAAAGGTGCTCATACCACATATCACACTATGCTATATCGGGATTAGCCTGTATATAACACTATCGAGTCCATACATATATATCGTATCGTTATGTAGAACTTAATAATATTAAGGCTTTTCCACCAACTCATATATGACCTTCTAACAAATAATAATAATGAGATAAATCTTTAGTAAGTTTTTAACATTAAATAATTGATGATAAAGTTTGATATTTATTTTTTTAATATTTATCTACATAATTATATACAAATTGAATTCTTGAGTATCAAAATATAATCTATATGACACTATATAAAAATTCCGTAAAATCCGACGCATAAGTTTCTTCCGCTACGCTCCGAAACACAGCGCAAACTTGTCAACAACATTCGCGACGAACGAATCTCTAACAGTAATATGGCGCAAATTGAGCGTCAAGAAGATCTAATCATCACAGCAACGGCTAACGTTGACATCAACTTGCAAGCTGACTTAAAAGCTGCCCCTGAAGAAAACGCTGGTGATTCAATCATGGAGAGCTCTCCGCAATACGCCTCCACAACTAGTAAATTTGCACTCATTAGGAATTTCGTGACAGCTAAGTTTCTATGCTAATGGAGATAACAAGTTTCTGATCCAGGATCCCCAAATACTACCACATCACGTAACAACTTTCATGTGATTGAGGACAGTAACAAAGTCCCAGTACAAACGGTACAACCTATCACATTACCCAAGAACACGTTCGGCTTTACAAGATCGGCAAGAAAAGCTCGGCTCCGATGAAAGACGGAAGAGAGAAAACAGATTGCTTTGGGAATCTACCGCAAAGATGAAATCCCAGAAGATGTCGACGCTACCAAAAAAGAAGCAAAGCGCCAATATAGATTGAAGCGGGAGTCTTACATAAATATTGAGAACGCTGCCGTCAAAATTTCTGTATGAGAAGTTTTTTTCTCTTCCAAAATCCTCAAAATTACAGTAATATCCTTGCACGCTATCCCCTCCCCTACTCTGACGAAAAAAGCTTTGTCTGTCTTGCTCCTATCATTTCCATGAACAATATTGATCGCTGAACCGGAAAGTACATCCAGAATACGGTTTCAAGATTGAAATCACAACTAGCCTAGACATCTTTCGCCCTAGGAGTAGCCTTCACAAACATGTCGAGATAGTTGGCGAGAGCTAAATCTTGCTCATCCCAATCTTGCCACAAAGTACGATCCAGTTGACACCGCTCAATGAACATCACCATGGGCGTCCAGCGATCATCTTCACTCCATGATAGCATATTCTCCACCACATTTCCAGGTACGCTGAAGTATTTCAATACCTCATCCCAAACTAACATAGGTTTCCCGTTGCGACCCTTCCCAACAACTTTCGACATTTCTCCGGTGTTAAAGAATCCCATGTGCAAGTCCTGCAGTAGTCGGCCAATCAGTCCTGAGACTTTCATTGCTGAATCTATGTGCACATGAAGAAAGCTACCGTATGTTTCGTTAAGGCTAATATAAGCGTCAATTGGCATAGATTGAGGACCTTGACGGGAAAATTTTGATCGAGTTGCTTCTATTAGCGTCCTGGAGGTAGTAATTTGATGTAGTTTTTCGTTCGATCTTCGTAGAGTGGGAGTTGATTGTTTTGGTTTCTTTTGTCCCTTTGAAATTTGGTTCGATTGTATTGAGCTTCTCGAATTGTGTAGATTAGCAGCTGGCTGATTCCCATTATTTGACTTCTGTGGATTCAGTTTTGACTGTGCTGCCTGAATGGACTTTTTTAATGTAGAACCAGGAGGAGGTTCGGTCCCCAAGCTCTTTGGAATAGAAGCCAATTGGCCTGCATTTAATTTCTGCGACTTGGGCGCTGATCGTAATTTCTCCTTAATAGTCTTAGGGGCACTAATTTGATCTTCCTCGGTCAAGTCAATGATCTCAGCTTGTCCGGAGTTGTTCC